AGGGTGAGGGACAGAGGAGTGACAGGATCCTGAAAGAGTGCTTTTCCCGCTCTTTTTTATGTGTGTGCATTTGCGTGCATTGTCTAACCTGAATTTTTAGAAAGAGGAACTCATAGACTTTTTTGCTCTAGAAAAATTGAGGTAGATGGGACTCTGCCATCCTCCATTCCTCTTTTTGCATTGCTTACCACTTCCTTATGTTAACATGCTCCATGCAATTGTTCATAAAGTCCCTTGCACTCATCAAGTATTAACAACGTATCTTAAGGCAATACTCTTTTCAGAGCTAAATGCATTTGAAACCAGGACTTTGAGTGACACAAAATCTTCACAACTCTAAAATCTGTAATGCTGAAGTTTTAGATACGAGACAGTAAGAGAGAAATTTTGGAATAGGAAGTTGGCCCAGACTTTTCAAATGATACCAAATATTCTACCCTTTGACTCAACTCAGACATTGTCTTTGTCATCTATATCTTCATCTATTCAGTTCATGACCCATCTCAAGATCACAGCCCTATTGCTATCAAAACTTGACTTTTTTTTGTCACCATTACGATATGCACCATCTCTTTTAAAGATGTTCATTATGCAGTCAGCTAGGTGGCATAATGCTTAGAGTGACTGGATCCCACATGACCATCTGTACAGAGTCCTATAAAAAACATGCCAGGCACGGACGTGTGTGTGCCCAAAATCCCAAGAGGAGAATGGAGGAGAAGGACCTGTGGCATGGCCATCTTCCCTGGGGAGCGCTTTCTCACTTTCCCTCTCACTCTTTCTCCAGTGAATGCACATGCCCTACTGCAAATTAATTTATGTATGTATGTATGTATGTATGTGTGTGTGTGTATATATATGTATATAAAATAGAAAAACAAAGACATTCATAAAAAAGTAAGTTTAATCATATGTTGCTTTCATCTGTACTTACTGGGCCTGTAAGGTTAATAGAGAATAGAACATTTCCCCCTAAATAAATGCTACTCCATCTCCCTAGTCTTATGCTGCAACTTAGTTGGCATTGTAACAGTATTAAGATGTAGAACCTTGTTAGAGCTTTTAGGAAACTAAACAACTCCTAAACAACAATGACTAGGTCTCTTTTGGGCACATCCAAGACTTGACTTTGCTGGAACAAATGGGCCTGATGTCCAGGGACTAGTGCTGGGCCCCTCCTGGATGTCCCGTCCAGTAAAGATTCCAGGACCTGTACAGGAATCCCCAGGTATTCTGTTTTGCAAGAAGGCTCTCATGAGGAGTAAATATGGGGCAATGCTGTGGAAAACACATACAAAGTGTCATTTCTTACAGTAGACAGCAAGAACCTGCTGCCCGGTACTCAGGGAGCATCACTGCCATTCTCTGGAATTTCATGAAACAACGGAAGTAGTTGAAGTGGCTGTAGGTTCATTTCTATCTTCACGTACGTTGTTCCACACGTAAGGAAGTAAGAATGTCTTTAAATCTTTTCTTTCTAAAAGTTAAATATAATCCCCTCATTCAGATTATAAATTTTATTCAGAATGATAATCTAAAATGTTAAAGTAAGAAATTCTTATCTTGTTGGCTGACTTAAAAAAAAATTGCTAGCAGGCACCTGTGCTCACCAGAGAGAGAGAGAAAGAGAGGCAGAGAGAAAGAGAGGCAGAGAGAAAGAGAGGCAGAGAGAAAGAGAGGCAGAGAGAAAGAGAGGCAGAGAGAAAGAGAGGCAGAGAGAAAGAGAGGCAGAGAGAAAGAGAGGCAGAGAGAAAGAGAGGCAGAGAGAAAGAGAGGCAGAGAGAAAGAGAGGCAGAGAGAAAGAGAGGCAGAGAGAAAGAGAGGCAGAGAGAAAGAGAGGCAGAGAGAAAGAGAGGCAGAGAGAAAGAGAGGCAGAGAGAAAGAGAGAGAGAGGCAGAGAGAGAACACTCCTAATGGGATGTGGTCATGCCATGATCTTTCCTCTTCCATTTCTCCATCCTGGTGGGATTTGTAACATGCACATACACACAAGTATTTTTCAGGCCACTGGGGATGGGACTCCAACCACAATTGGCCATCTGGGACCTGGCTTCCTTTAGCCACTAGGCTACTAACTGGCCCCAAAGTTGGTATAAATTGTAAAATCTGAAGGGTAAAAATCTTTGTATGTGGGCTCGGTATGTGGCCTCGTAGTTAGGGGAGCCAGATCCCACATGGTCAACTACACTGTTGAAGTCCCAGCCCCAGTGGCTTGAGAAACATGCTGGGCACATGTGCGTGCATGCCCTCAAATCCCAACAGGATGGAGAAATGGAAGAGAAGGGGCTGCAGTGAGACTGCTCCCCACTGGGAGGTGCTTCTCCCTTTCTGTGACTCTCTCTCTTTCTCACTCTGGGGAGTACATGTACCTTCTGGCAATAAAAAAAAATCCACATATATTATCACATCATTATCATTCTTGTAGACTGAGAATAAACAACAGAGGTCAACCCTGAATTTTGGAGAATGAAGGACATCTAATTTTCTGGCACTGCCAATTTCAGAAGGGTAGGTATGAGACTTAAGTTAGATGATATATGTAAAAACACATCGTCACCATGCAGTAACTATTATTGTCATCACCACAATCATAGCTCTCCACACCAAGTGAATGGGAATGAAGGAAGAAAATGAACATTCATTGTGTATTCACTGGGGTCATGGGAAAGACTTCCATGTGTGTTAACTCGCTTGATCCTCACAACGTGGCCACATTATTGTAGATGATTGTTTGGGGTCTAAATAGGTAGCTAGGGCGGAAGTGACTGTGCACGGTACTCTGGGCAGATCTGCCTAACGCTTCAGAGTAACATTTTATTGTAGGTGATCATGTCATGCACTCCACGATGTGAGTCTACATATGTATGCTTAAATTGTACAGAACAGTTTATCTACAACCTAATTAAGTTGTCGTTAGATGGAAGAACAGGTAAAAGTACAACATTAAAATGATCTGTTTATTTATTCTGGTAAACCCAGATGGTAAGTATGAATCTTCATGAGGAGAAAAATCTTAGAAAAGGTGCTCAGGGACCAGAAGATGGTGTCATGGTTACATCGCTGGACTCCCATGTCCTGGACCATGGTTCGAGTCCTAGACCTCGTAGCTTAAAACTCACAACAGGCATGTGCCCAAAATCCTGAGAGGAGAATGAAGGAGAAGGGACTGTAGTGTGTCCATCTCTCTTGGGGGGTGATTTCTAGCTTTCTGTTTCTCTGTCTCTCCAGCAAGCACACGCACCATATAGCAAAAACCTCTCTAAAAAAAAAAAGAAAGAAAGAAAAGAAAAGAAAAGCAAAAGGTACTCATAGGTTCAGTCTACATGGCACAGTTGGAAGCGTGCTGGGTGGCAGTGCTGAGGACCACATGGGCAACCACAGGTTCAGATCTATGGGTCTGGAAAGCAGCTCAGCCTGAAAACATACTGGGTAGGCCTGGGTGCAAGAGATCCTGACAAGCTAGAGGGTGAGGGACAGAGGAGTGACAGGATCCTGAAAGAGTGCTTTTCCCGCTCTTTTTTATGTGTGTGCATTTGCGTGCATTGTCTAACCTGAATTTTTAGAAAGAGGAACTCATAGACTTTTTTGCTCTAGAAAAATTGAGGTAGATGGGACTCTGCCATCCTCCATTCCTCTTTTTGCATTGCTTACCACTTCCTTATGTTAACATGCTCCATGCAATTGTTCATAAAGTCCCTTGCACTCATCAAGTATTAACGACGTATCTTAAGGCAATACTCTTTCAGAGCTAAATGCATTTGAAACCAGGACTTTGAGTGACACAAAATCTTCACAACTCTAAAATCTGTAATGCTGAAGTTTTAGATACGAGACAGTAAGAGAGAAATTTTGGAATAGGAAGTTGGCCCAGACTTTTCAAATGATACCAAATATTCTACCCTTTGACTCAACTCAGACATTGTCTTTGTCATCTATATCTTCATCTATTCAGTTCATGACCCATCTCAAGATCACAGCCCTATTGCTATCAAAACTTGACTTTTTTTTGTCACCATTACGATATGCACCATCTCTTTTAAAGATGTTCATTATGCAGTCAGCTAGGTGGCATAATGCTTAGAGTGACTGGATCCCACATGACCATCTGTACAGAGTCCTATAAAAAACATGCCAGGCACGGACGTGTGTGTGCCCAAAATCCCAAGAGGAGAATGGAGGAGAAGGACCTGTGGCATGGCCATCTTCCCTGGGGAGCGCTTTCTCACTTTCCCTCTCACTCTTTCTCCAGTGAATGCACATGCCCTACTGCAAATTAATTTATGTATGTATGTATGTATGTATGTGTGTGTGTGTATATATATGTATATAAAATAGAAAAACAAAGACATTCATAAAAAAGTAAGTTTAATCATATGTTGCTTTCATCTGTACTTACTGGGCCTGTAAGGTTAATAGAGAATAGAACATTTCCCCCTAAATAAATGCTACTCCATCTCCCTAGTCTTATGCTGCAACTTAGTTGGCATTGTAACAGTATTAAGATGTAGAACCTTGGGGCAAGTAGGTAGCATGGTGGTTGGGGTAATGTACTCCGCAGTTCTAGTCCTGGACCTGGAGACTTGCTTTCTCACTTTCCCTCTGTCTGTCTGTCTCTGGTGATTGCCTGTGCCATAGAGAAAATTTTAAAATAATAGTAATAAATAAAATTAAATACATAATTTTTCTTAAAAAATATGTAGAACCTTTAAGAAGTGAGTTGGTGGAGCTCTGAAGAGTGGAATTAATGCCATTAGGAAAGGGTAAGTCTGGCTCCTTTTTGCTTCTTTGCCCTTCCTACTTCCATCATGTGATGATGCAGCAAAAGAGCTCTTGCTAGATGCCAGACATACTGATCTTGGCCTTTCCAGCCTCCAGAACAGTGAGAAAATAAATTCATGCTGAAATGACCAACACTGTGGTATTTAATTATAGCAGCACAAAAAGACTAATACAATAAGCTAAGTTTTTATGCAAAAGAAAAAGTTAGTTGGTAAACTTACCAGAATTCTGGGAACCCATGAAGCAGCAGCATGAGTGGTTTGCCTCTTTCTCCTGCAGCAACATAGTGAAATCTTAACCCTGAATCCTGAAAGTAGAAGGCATAGAATGTTAATGATGTTTGTTGTTGTTTTTAAAGTAGTACATTTAGCATTTTCATTCCACTTTTAAAACTTGCACTGTTCTAACATTAAGAAAAAATATGAATTTTCAAAAAGAAAAAAAGTCCATGGTTTGTCAATAGGATAAATTGACAGGTTCATGTTTTGTTGATATTGCTTTCACCGTACTTTCCCTTCTCATTTTACTGTGATATAAAGTCAATTTATATGTAAGAGGACTTCAAAAAGTTCATGGAAAGTGCCTACTATAAAAAACTGTACATGGGGCTGGCAAATGGTACGGTAGAAAGGGGTGCTGGACTCCCACATGGCCAACTGTGGTTCGAGTCCTGGACCTGGTAACTTGCTTTCTCACTTTCCTTCTCTCTCTCTCTTACACTCAGTCCCTCTCTGGTCAAAGTAAAATAAATACATAAAATAAAGTTAAATAAAATCATTATTTTTTCTTTAAAAAACTATACATAGATTTCAAACATTTTGTAACAAAATTAACTCACACTTTAACTTCATTTTCCACAAAGTTTTTGAAGTTTCCGTGTGTTATGAGCGTCTGAAGTAATGTCACAATTTGTAACTTTCACCTTAGTGACGTGCCACATTTCATCTTGCTCAGCTTTTGCAGGCCTTGTAAATAATTCTGATGTGAATTTCTATCCCTGCCATGTTTACCTTCCAGTCATGTACTTTCCTCAGCTTGCCCGCCAAGAGCTATGCCATCGGTTACATAATTCACACCTCCTTCCCTTATTTTTAGGTTCTTCCTTCCCACATTAGCTTTTGGAGTGTTGCATGTACTGTTTCCTTGCTGCCTGCTCTTCATGTCACGTCAGTGTGCGTCTCTAACAGCAGAACGCTCTGTGGGACTTCATGCTGCTCGTGGGAGACAAGACAGCCAGAAAAACACAAAGCATGGGATGAGGGAGGACTACAGCAAGTACTAAGCAAACTGAAGACAGAGAAGTGAAGAAAACGGCGAGAAAGAAAAACGAGAACTCTGGAAGAAAGCAAGCTAGGAAAGAAACCAAGAACCAAAAGCTGAGCACAGACACTGGGATTTCCTACTGGACACCCAAGCAAGAGGGTTTCCGATAAGAAAGAGATTACAGGGTTGTCTAATTCGGCCCCACCATTTTGCATAATTTGAGTCCTGGCTCAAAGATATTAGCACAGGTCCTAATAGTGGTTGGGAGCAGGGCTGTGACTCAGTTCTCATCTTGCCCTAACTGCCAGGATGATGCTCCTTCCACTCCTTCATTCTGCTCCTTAGGTAGCGGAGTCAGAGGAAAGGCATTCGGAGGAATTCCTGATTCTTATACTATTTCTACTCCACAGGTTGGACATAGATCTGACTTTGCCTTCAAAGGCAGAATGCCTTCCAAGAAGTTCAAAGCTTCTTGTTTCTGTTTGTTTGTTTGTTTGTTTTTGTAATTAGCTAGAGGGCATTTGTGCTCACAGGAGAGAGATGGGAAAGTGAGAAAGCACATCCCATGGCCATGGGGGGTGGTCACGCTGCAATCCCTTCTCCATTTCTCTTTTTGGGATTTTGGGCACACAGGCACAGGCGGGCGCCTGGCATGTTTTTTAAGCATCAGGTCCAGGACTTGAACCAGCGAGTCAGCCATGTGGGATCCAGGCTCCCGACCATACCACTGCTGGCCCTCCATCACTGGTTTCATGGGCAGTGAGTCTTAGAGGATGATGCTGAGTGCACTTCACTGGTTAAATTGAACAACACGGGACTGTGCTGCAGTAAGCCTGCCCCAGGCACTGCTCTAAGTGGTTTTGTTAGTTTGCATACAAATATTAACTCATTTCATTTTTACATCAACCCTAGGCTGAATAAGGGTAAGAAAGAAGTCCTTGTGTCCTCCTAACCCCCGGTGCTGAGCAATTTATCTCCTCATAGGAAATCAGGACTCAGGTGACATAAATATCCATTTTCTGTGAGTCACTATCGGATGTTACAGGGGCTATTTCCTTTCGCCACCTGGAGCCTCAGAAAATAGAATATCCGTGGGCTGTGGGAAAGCTCGGGACCAGCACAGCCAGCCAAGGCGTCTCCGCCAGGTGCACGTGTGCTTCCATTCCACCCCTCGGGTCCTGACTTCTAAGTCTGCCTCCCTCCCCACAAACGTACACCATTTATCGTTTTGTGCTACTTAGCTCTGAATAAACTCCTGATTCTAACGACTTTGTTTCCTCTTTCTACCTCTGCCATTCGTCAAGGACAGCCTCCTGAGACAGTAGAGCGCCACCAAGAACACTTCCCTGCAGCTGATCTGAGCTCTAAAGGGCAAAAAGGTGACAGGAGACTGCGTCCCCTTAGAGCAGGAAGGGGAGCAGAATTACTCTTGGAGGTTATGGCGGAGGGAGGAGGACATAGGAATCCGGAAAGGGCTCTGGTTTGAGAAACTCCACGTTCAGAAACCAACCCGGGCGCCTGCAAAACGAATTGCTGTTTGCCAGCTTCTCTTTCTCGGTCTCTTTCTTTCTCTCTCTCTCTCTCTCTCTCTCTCTC